TCATGGGGGTCAGGAGCTTAACTGGCTGGATTTGAGAACCAGAGCTGCCACTGAGTTATGTTTGGAAGAATGATTTTAAACAGAATCCCTGGTTCTGAGGTGCACGGATAGTGAACATGGTGGGGAGAGCTTTGACTGCATGGCTTGACTCTAGCTCTTCTATCATGTGCAGCCCTGAGTGCGGGCCTTAACCATCACACATGTCAGTTACCACCTGTAAAGTGAAAACAGTAGCTCTCACTATGTGACAGCTGTTGGATGGCTAAGTAACAGAATATATGTGCAATGTGCAGAGTTCTGAGGGGCTGGCACAGGCCTAGGGTGCCCTGTACATTATCAAGCTAATATGGGTATCTGAGGAGTCCTAGATGTGCTATCTGCGGCCATCTTATCACCATCATAGCCTTAAGAAGGTTCCAGATGCAACACGGAGGGCCTAGGAAAGTATACGGAAACTTGGCCATTCAGAGATCTATCATGAACTGGCACTGCAGCCACCATCTTTGAGGCTTCACTACACCTTTCCAGTACCCAGATCAGAGTACAAACTGTTGCTGAAAGCCACTGTTCTTCATAGTGGTTCTCACCCTCCCTAGTGCTGTGCCCCTTTAACACAGTTCCTCATATTGTGGTGAACCCCCAACACTAAAATTATTTTTGTTGCTATGTAATAACTAATTTTGATACCTTTACAAAACCGGGTATGTGACCCTCAAAGGGGTCGAGAACCACTGCTTTAGACTTATGCCATTATTTCCCTCAGGTTACATTTTGTTACAGACATTAGCATATGTAAATACAGAAGGCCTTTACAGAAGGCCTAATTGTTATTTCTAGCTTCTCTCGGAGGATGTTTCATTCCTTTAGAGGATATAGAAAGCAACAGGGAGCCACTAGCCCAAGTTCTCACCCCAAAGAAAAACTACAGAGAAAGGCACAGAACCTCAGAGAGCATGGACTGAGCAACAGGGCGGGCTGACCTGGTAATTCTGGCTCAAACTGTTGCTGAAAGTCACTACTAACTTTACAGAGGTTCTCAACCTTCCTAGTGCTGGGCCCTTTAATACAGCTCCTCGTGTTGTGGCGACCCCCGCCCCACCAATCATAACATTATTTTGTTGTTACTTCAGAATTGCCAGAATTAGAAGCCTGCGGATGTCAAAGAATCTTAGGGGAATCGTTTCACCGCTTTTTGAAAGGACAACTTGAGGTGGTGGGATTATGGTTTCCAGACCTCTTTAGGCCTGTTCTCAAACACACTGAAGGGAGCGAGCGCCTGAGCACGGACACTAGCGTGGCCCTGAAGGGTCACACTGCCTCACAGGCTGCCAAAGGGCTTCCTGCCGAGGGTTCCTCGCGCCCTTACCTTCCGACAGCTCCGGCCCTGGTTGCCCGACCTCTTCCTCAGGTATGTCCTCCCTCCTCCAGAAGAAGGACACCAGCTTGGCTGCGAGGCGCAGCATGGCACCCACTCAGGCCTCTACCTCAGCTCCAGGAACTTGCACGCCACAGCGCCCTCCCTCCGGCCACCACGCATGCGCCTGTGGAACTCAGCCAATGGGGTTGTTCTGTCCGCGCCTGCAGCTGCCTCAGCGAATAGGATCCTTGCCTAGGCCATGAGGCACGACCGTTAGCAATGGGAGGTCGGCGGTTAGCACGTGAGGGAGCCCGAAGCTCCTCGTGAAGCCAACAAGATGCCTGACATGCGCAGTGTCTGGACGAGAGGGCAGGGCTTCGCGGCAGATGGGCGTGGCGTGAAGCTCGGGGCGGGCCTTTCTGTTCAATTCAGTCCACTTAAATAAAAAGAATTTCGCCATTGAGCATGCTGTTAGGAGTGGTTTTGCAGAAATTCTTTATCAAGTCAAGGATGTCTCCTCTATTCCAATTTTCCTAAGAGTTTTATTTATTTATTTTTGAGGAAGGACATTTATACCCGGGCTGCCAACGAAGTCACGAGATAGCCAAGGATGCTATCTGCTTGGCTCTCCCAAGTCCAGAGGTTATAGGCCTCTGCTACCACACTGTTTTACACTGTGCTGGGAGTCCACTTCCTGGCATGTTTAGCAAATATTCCTTTAAACTGAGCTGCATCCCAAGCCTGTGGACCTTGTTTTGCTTGTTTGTTGTTTTTGTTGCATGTAAACATTTAAAACTACAGGTTTCTCTTTAAATTTTGGTTAAGTTGCATCCTACAAAATTTAAGTTGTAGCTTCATTTTTGTCTTGTAGTTTTCTTGAACCATAGAGGTGTTTTTACTTTGCTGTAGTTTCCCCGTACCCACACAGGCATGCTGTCGATATGTGACTAAAGAGTTTCTGCTGCTGACGTAATTTAATTGCTCTTAGTAAAATGTGGATGACGTCTGTTTTTAAAACTGGTGATGCACACTTTTAATCCCAGTGCTTGGGAGGAAGAGACAGACAGATCTCTGTAAATTCCAGGCCATTCTGGTCTACATAGTTAGTTGAAGGCCTGCCAGTGCTACAGTGATACCCTGTCTCAAAACAAAACAAAACAAAACAAAACAAAACAAAACAAAACAAAACACAAACTTAATCAAGAGTTTCACAACTATGTTAGTCTCCAGAATCTCCTTTATTGGGTGTTATACATGTCATAAGATACATCATAAGAAAGATGTATTCTGCTGTGTTTGTTAAGGGTCTGATTTAGTTCTTAATTAGGATTTTTTTTTTTAATTTTAGTACTTCAGATCAGTTTAATATACACTCTTCTTGAGAGATGGGAGAGGGTAATTCATTTCTTAAACATTTAGGGGCAGTCATAAAGTCTTCTTGGGTGTGTTGCTCAGAATACATGGGAAAATAAATGAGGACCTGAGGCTGTATAGGGTTGGAGTCGTCTTCAGAGATGAGGTCTGGGTAACCCAGTCAGGCTTCCTATCACAGAATATGGTAAGAATTACTGCCTTGCACGACGGTGTGTGGTTGTTGCCACCCTGAACCCACCACTACGTCAGCCTCTTCTACATTTCCTAGCAGATGCCCTATGGCCATTGTAACTTCACATCTAAAAGAAAACATATTTCTCTAAGACCTTCTTCCCTGACAATAGCCCACAGTACTGACAGCAAATAGGATGGAGTGGTTCTTATACAGAGAGAGAGAGAGAGAGAGAGAGAGAGAATTTGATCCCTTCTCAGCATTTTGGATCACACCTTCTCTCCACCCCCAGCCTGTTTTCCACACAGCACCAAATGTCACCTTGTCCAAGCCCACCTCAGAGTCAAAGATGGGTGGCTTGCATGCTCACAGCTGTCTTCTACCTGAATGGTTTCTGCATTCTACTTCCCAAAATCCTTGGCTTGCCCTCCTTCAGCTATGCTCCTACATGTTCCAGAGTCTTGATACCCACCAGGCCTCTGGCTCTTCTGCCTACCCCCTTGCGCCTTTAGTCCCATCCACTATCTCCCTGAAGTCTATTCATACTCACACAGACAAAGTCCAATGTGCTGCCATATGACACAGTGGAATACAAAAGAACCATGACCTGTAACTACTCAGTGGACACAGGAAGGAAGGGCAGTTGTTTGAAGATTCTACTGAACAGGACTTGCTTTAGAAATAAGTACTACAGTAGTAATAAAGACATACTTCCAAGCTGCTGTGAGAAGCCAGAAAGTGTGTGTGTTCTCCCTCTCTGATTCAAAGCAGCTCATTTGCCTTTCTTAGTGGAAAACACAAAAGGGATGAAGTTTGTTCAACATTTTTCCCAAAAGAAAACACAGGGCCAGGCCGTGGTGGCCCACACCTTTGATCCCAGTACTTGGGAGGCAGAGGCAGGCAGATCTCTGAGTTTGAGGCCAGCCTTGTCTACCAAGCAAGTTCCAAGACAGCCACGGCTACACAGAAAAACCCTGTCTCGAAAAACAAGACACTTAAACACAAACAACAAAAAGAGAGACATAAAGTAAACACAGAAGAGTTCAATCAAGTTGGACCAATTCCCATGAATTCTACTGCTCATTTTAATACTCATTTTAATATAGGAGGTTCTTCAACCCATTTGAAAGAAGTTCCATATTTTTAAAATTTATTTTTATTTTATATGTTTGGGTGCTTTGCCTGAATGTGTGTGTGCCATGTGTGTGCCTTGTACCCACAGAGGCCAGGAGAGGGTGTTAGATTCCCTTGAACTAGTGTTATAGACAGTTGTGAGCTGTCATGTAGGTGCTAGAATTGTAAGCCACCATGTGGGTGCTGGGAATTGAACCCAAGATCCTCTCTGCAAAAGCAGCCAGTGCTTTTAACCTCTGAGCCATCTCTCCAGCCCTGGGTAAATTGTTTCTAATCCTTCTTGCTTGGTTGAAATCTAAGATAATAGAACATCCCTGATTAGGAAGCCCAGGCTGCCTGTGGTTCTGCGGTTCAAAGGGGGCTGTTTTGTCCAAGTACTCTTTGCTGGGCCTTTTGCAACGTGCACAAAGAAATTGTTGCTGTAATTGCCAGGGCGCCAATGTCTTCAGGCAAATGAAGCACATTTATGTCCCTTTTCTCTGCCTAGTGAGCAGAAATAAAGAGTTCAGCGGGACTGTTCTCGCCAATCCTTGGGGCTGCCATGGGAACCTGTGGTGGAATTCCCAGCAGTTCAGGGGCCAGCCTTGCCAAATCGAGAACATAAAGCTTTATACGGCCTGATGAAGGAGAGTTCCATCGTGTGATAATGGGAGACAAAGAAAGACTGCTTCAAAAGATGTAGACCTTGGAGCAATTTTCTGTTCAAGGCCCAAGGCTGGTCAGGATCCGAACACAGGGCCGGGCTCTGTTCTCAGCAGTACTTTCTTCTCTTTCCAAGACACCCACCTGGCTAGTGTGCAGTGAGTGGGACCACAGGTACTCCCTTTCCTCCTTGTACTGGGAAAGCTCCAAGCCAACGGTTATGCAACCAAGGCGATCATTTCTAGGATCCACTCCCTTCATCTCATTGAAATTCAGGAAGTTGTGTGCCTGCCCCTGGCTGAAGTGCAGTTTGGCTGAGCTTTTGTTCCACTTATGAATAGTTCTTGCTGGAAGTCCATCACCCAGAGGCCAGCTCTCCCAACAGCCGGACAACAGCGGAGGTAAGCATGAAAACATTAAACTGCAAAGTAGGTGCGTCTCTTGTAATCTCGTTACTTTTGTTGAATGGGTGGAGTCCCCTTCTGTTTGAGATTCAAAGTTGCCGGTGGAGGTTGAAACGTACTATAGCTGAAGACTCAGATGAAGTCTAAATGCGCTGAATCCAGATGGGTTTGGGGTGGTTTTATTTACTTTGAGAATTAAACACTCCTTTTTAAATTCACGGCCCAGAGTATGTGCATATGACTTGTTTGAGAAAGTGTCTGCTTAAACCAGACACGTCAGTGTTTACCCATGCAGAAGTTTAAGGACAGCCAGGACCACGCAGTGATATTTTGTTTCAAAACAAAAATTTCAAAAGCAATTTTTTGAAAAAGGACTTACTGCGGATCAGAGGGTTTTCCGGCTATCAAAGCCCATAATGATGTCATTGCATAGGAGGGAATGGTGGTCTAAGTCCAACCGTCCGTCTGTGAGTCTCAGCTTGGCTGTATTTCACCCTCAGGATAGCAGGCCTGTTTCCATCGCCATGACACGGGAGGGGCAGTTCAGGGAGGAGCTGGGCTATGACCGGATGCCCACGCTGGAAAGGGGTCGGCAGGATGCAGGACGGCAGGACACAGGCAGCTACACCCCTGACCCAAAGCCCAAGGACCTGCAGCTGCCCAAGAGGTTGCGGCCGTGCTTCAGCTACAAGACATGGGTATTCTCCGTGTTGATGGGGGTAAGCACCTTAATACCATTTCAGAGGTCAGCGAACACCTTGCTCCTTCGGCGTCCGTCATGTCCTAGAGCATGGAAGGCCCCATAGTATGGGAACGACTGTGTCCCAGGTAGTAGGTCAGGCAGGAACAGCTCCCATGTTGGTAGGATACCTCTTGAGTGCTGACATGTTTTGTTTTATTTTTTTTTTCCTTTTCTGTACATGAATGGTCTGTGAAGGCTGGTGGCCATGTCATGCTTCAGGGTGGCTCTGTAGAGTGAATGACAAGAGTGGTGGCCAAGCCTGGGGTCAGGACCATGGAGCAGGAAGGGTGGCAGAAGCCATAGGAATATGGGAGCTATGGGGACCATGGAAAGGGCTAAGCTGGGTGTAGCTAGGAAGCAGATTCATGCTAGCCCAGGGTGGGACAGTGCCATACGGGCCTCCAGGACACTTGTACACAGCCTTGCATAGAACCGGGATGCTTAAAGCATCATTTGGTGCTGAGTGTGCACAGCAGCGGAGGACCAAGTTGCTGCATGCGTTTCTCTGTGGCAGGAGCTGGGTTTTGCCCAGCCCCAGTCTGAGAATGTTCAGACACGGACCTCTTCCTTTCCACATCTCCAGACCTTTCCCAGATCCATTTTGGATCAGTTTCTGCAGCGGCAGGAGGTCTGGCACTTTTTTTTTTTACAGGCTCTGAGCTTGGACCCGGGGCAGGACCCTGAATCCCCTGATACTACTTCCCCCCCCTCCAAAAGTGTGGTAGTTTCTGTTCTGGCACCAGAGGTGGGAAAGAGAAGGTCCATTGCTTGGGTTGTGCTGGTCCTGCCAAGAGGAGCTGCAATCGCACAGGACCCACACACAGGCAAAATAAGTAACGGGGAGACTACTGGTTAGTATGGGAAACATTACATTGCAGTCAAAGGCTGGGTGTTGCCTTCTCAAGTGTCTTATCTTCAGACAGAGCTGGTTACAACCTGAATCTACGTCTCTGTTTTGCAGAGCTGCCTTCTTGTGACCTCTGGGTTTTCGCTCTACTTGGGGAACGTGTTCCCTTCCGAGATGGATTATTTGCGCTGTGCAGCAGGCTCTGTAAGCACACACCTCAACAGCACCCTAATTCTCCCATTGTGAGCTCAAGCTTCTGTGATCTGGGGTTTACAGGTGTCTGTTAACTACTCACAGCACTAGTTTCAACAGTGTTGAAATTTACCAGGTCTGACTCGTGTGTGGGGAAACAGCACTTTTGAGCCCGGTATGTTGCATCTTTGTGCTCTGTCTTGGCTGCCATGAAGCACTCTGCCCTTGGTAGTCAGGCGACCCCTGTATCTCTCAAACCTTGATATCCTGGAATCTCACCCATTGCCAAAGAAAATTGTCCTCACAGGAGGGAAGAAGAGATGGTCACTAAAGTGTTTAGGCTCTGTGGCTCCTGCCTTCCCAATGACTGGCCAGCTCAAGCACAAAGCGCTCTGTGTCATTGTGTGGTAGCTAGGCTATAGGGACCTCCTCGAGACCACCCAATGGCCCTTTGAGGTCCTGGATCCCCAGGTTCACTTCCTGTGCCTTTCCCTATTTATCTGGAGACTGTCTACCACAAGCCAAGGTTCCCGAGAATCTTTTCTTCCCTAACCCCCTGCCAGGATCCCCTACCCCTCCCACAGGACAGCACTTTTATCAGTGGCCAGAGTTGTCTTGAAAGACAAAGGACACAGGGGGCTAGAGAGATGTCTCAGCAGTTAAGAGCACTTTCTGCTCTTGAAGAATCCAGGGCTTAGTTCCCAGCACCCACGATGGCTCACAGTCATCTGTAATTCCCATTCTAGGGGACCCAGTGCCCTTTGCTGACCTCTGTGAGCATCACACACACGTGGTACACAAATACACATGCAGGCAGAACACTCATACACATAATATACTGTCAATAGGACCTTTTAAAAAAGAAGAAAAGACAAAGGACACCGGTTTCTTTTAGCCCCATCCCCCAGCCATGTACACATGCTACCGTGAACTTCTCTGCTCCTTTAGAATAATGCTCTTTGAAAGAATGGGAACCCCTCCATGCCACTTCCTGCCTGGATGTGTCTACTGTGTCCTCATCATAGTCATTCTGACCCAGATTTCTCCAGAGTGGCAATGACCCTTCAGTCCTAAAGGTAGGGAACACTCATTCCTGCCTTGTTCCACCCCTGGCAGCTGTCTTCCCAGGTGCTAGTGTTTGGCCTTTGGGGCACCTGGGTAGTTCCCAAGGCCTACCTCGAGCTTCAACACAGGTTCGTCTTGCCTCCCATACCACCTACTATATGTCCTATATAGACAATCCCACTGGTCTTTGTTCCATGAACCCACTATCTTTTTAGGTCCCACCTGCTGTTCTTCTAGGGGACTGTGGTCCCATTGCCCACAGGATTGACACCATTTGGCCAACCAGCCTCAGGCTAACCGACCTCCAGCTCCCCTGACACCCTCACTACCCTCTTTCCCTAGTCTTTGCTCTCCCCCAGCTTTGGAGTCACAGAAGAGTCAGACATGGCTTGGATGACAACCAGTGAGCTAGAGGGACCCCTAAGTACAAGGGGACACTTCTGTTTTGGCCACACAGATACTTTTTCTTTCTATTCGCATCCAACTAAATACTGTTTTCTTTTTATTTATTTATTTTTCTTCTTTTTTAATTTCTTTTTCTTCTTCATTTTTTGTTTTTGTTTTTATTTGTTTTGTTTTGCTTTTTTTTGAGACAGAGTTTCTTTGTGTAGCCTTGGCTGTTCTGGACTTACTTTGTAGACCAGGCTGGCCTCAAACTCACACCAATCCACCTGCCTCTACCTCCTTGAGTCCTGGGATTAAAAGCATGTGCCACCATGCCCGGCTAAACTATAGTATGAAAAATATAACATTTTAATACATTTTTGAGAATTTCATACATACATACATACAATGTATTTGGACCATATACTCTCCCCACCCCTTCCCTTAGCCTCTCAGATCTACCTCTGACCTTCCTACTCTCCTCTCATACTTCACTTCTTTTTAATAACACACTGAGTCCAAATTGGCTTGAGTCAACCTGCCAAGGAGCCACATCATAAAAGAATACTGACTTTCCCTCTCCCAGCAGCCATCAGCCATCAATAGTTTCTCAGCTAGGGGTGGGGACTGGTGAGCCCCTTTCTCCTAAATCCTGTTTTTAAATTAAGTTAACTTTGAAATATCAAGGGACTTTCAGGGTAACACATTAAGCATTGTAGAGGCTTAAACATTGTAACATGACTGTTTTATGTCAAGCTGGAGTTTGTAAAACCCAAGGTCTTCAGATCGATAGGCAAGAGCTCTGGGCTACACCTGGCCTGCAATGCACAGTTGAAGGGATGAGAAGACTCAGAAGAACTCTTGGCTCACCCAGGTTCCTGTTTCTTTTCAGTGCATCCCCTCAGCAATTGTGAGTTTCGCTGTTGGAAGGAGAAATGTCAGTGCGGTAAGTTAAGCCTTCAGAGAGGCCTCTGCAGACTTGGTGACCCCATAGTACTGAGCTGGGGAAAGCGATGCTGTCTTTAGTTTTAAATAATTTATTTTATGTGCATTGGTGTTTTGACTGCATGTATGTCTGTGTGAGGGTGTTGGGTTCCTGGAACAGAAATTAAAGACAGCTGTGAGCTGCCATGTGGCTGCTAGGAATTGAACCCCAGTCCTCTAGAAGTTGGTGCTCATAACCACTGAGCTATCTCTCCAGCCCTTTCTTTAGTATTTTTTTTTAAAGAGGGAAATGCCTCCTGCTTTGTTTTTCAGATTCCCAACTTTCAGATATTATTTGTTTCCACATTCGCTGTTACCACTACGTGTTTAATCTGGTTTGGATGTAAATTGATCCTGAATCCATCAGCAATAAACGTGAGTCACTGGAAGGGGATGTGGGTCACGATGGCTTTCCTGTTTCTACCTGTGTCATGTGTTCCTACTGATGTCAACTGCTGCTCCCCCTGAGCAGGGGTCAACCCTGGTTAGAGAGTCACAGAAAATGCATTACCCTTATTGATGAATGTTGAGGATTTTGCCCATGCTTCTGAAGGAGAGAATCATCTCCACCGAATTCTGAATCTATTCCATTGGACAAATCTATTTATAGATGGCATGTTAGTGTCTATTTTCCAACAGTGACAGACCTGGGATACAGCTCAGGGACACAGCACATGCTTCTAGCATATGCAATGCTCTGGATTTTAGCCTAATACTACGTATGTTTAAAAAACAACAACAACAACAACAACATAATAGCAACGTAATACTGTATTTCATCAACTTTATGATGCTGTTGTCTATAAGGCATTCTATCATTTTATGTGTTACTGAGAAAAGTGGAGGAAATTATTTAAATTGTTATACTCAATGAGAAAGAATTCTCGCCAGAAATAAGCATACCTTATCCAGTCTTGTGAGAACAAGAATTCAAGGAACACTCAGGCTTTTATGTGCAGATGGACCCTGGGATTATTGTGTGCATAGAGTAAGTTGCTGGATATGAAAAATAAATATAAGACTTTAAGCCCACGACAAAACTTGAAAATATCCTCTAAACACAGATGCTTTATAGAACTAAATGTGTAGAGCCAAGTATAATTAGGAGATAGAGGGAGGAAGATCAGGAATTCAAGGTCAACCTTGGCTATCTAGTTAAGTTTGAGAACAGTCTGGGTTATATGAGACCATGTCTCAAGAAACAAACAAAACAAAGTTCCTACTGAACAAAACAAAACATATAAAGTTCCTGGGAATATGTCTATGAAGAGATTGAAACTATGACGCTTATCTTTTTCAAATTATTTTATGTGTATGGTGTTTACCTGCATTTACGTCTGTGCACTATTGTGCGTGCCTGGTGCCAATGAAGGCCAGGGGGAGGGTGAATGACACATATCTTAAAAAAGACATCCATATTGAATAAAGGGTAAGACCATGAGGCAATGCAGGTCCCAGTGAGAGGCTCCTCCTGCAGGCCTGCAAAGGGCTTGGTTCAGGGGAGCACAAAGAAGAAGGATCCCTCAAGGACAGGTGGGGACATGTCCTCCTACAGCCTGAAGTACTAGCACGCAATCCTAATAAAAGGGTAGGCTGGGCCTGGGGTTACAGGAACCGTCATAGATCCAGTCAGCCCACAGCCACATCATATTGGGGGCTTCAGGCTCTGACCTGGTTACAGCAAGTGCGGAGTCATCCAGATGGGCCCTTACCACTAACCTGCCACAGAGCTGAAGACCTGACCCCTAGGGCTGCAGCTAGGAGAAACTGCTGTTTCACAAGCACAGGGACACCCTGAGAACAGGAGTAGTAGATGCAAAAGTGACAGAGAATGCCTTCAACACACTAGGATCCCTAAGAGAAATTGGTGCCAGAGGAGGAGGAAGCCACGGAGCAAGGTAGCTCAGCACCTGCCCGGAGAGACTGTGAGGACAGCTGCAGGCCCTTTGGAAAACTATTTGGAACCAGTGTGGATCTTCCCAAGATGGAGACACTGCCTCACCTCAAAGGCAAACCTTGGAGAAACACTGGCACACCTGTGGCTAAGAAGCACGCCTGAGGGGCTGGAACAATGGCTGCTCTTCCAAGATCCTGGGCTCAACTCCCTGCACCCACATGCACAGCTCACAATTGTTTATAACTGTAGGCCCACGGGATCTGATGTCCCCTCCTTGGGAGTGCAGACATTCATGCAGACAAAATACCCATACACATAAAATGAACAAATAAATCTTTAGAGTGCGCATGAAAGGTCAGAGTCATAGCATTTACAGACCAAAGAAACAAGCCCAGTTTGGTGAACCAATGAGTTCATTGGTGTTACTTATGGGAGTGGGGGTGGGGTTGTGTGTGACCTCATATAATCTTGGGGCTGAGAAGGCTCAGAGGGAATGTTGATAAGGCAGATCTCATGAGGGTCTCCTGCGTGTCTGCGTCAAGGTGGTGATGCCCATGTGCGACCCTTGGAAAACAGCTACACTTTAACCTGCTTTTGGATGGTGAGGTAGCTTGTTCCTGGTTTCTCTGCATTATATGAAATATTCACTTTGAGGCCGTGTCTACCCCTTGGACTATTCCCATTTGACAGAGCAACAGCCTTGACCTGAGTTACTCCATTTTGAGCAGAAGTGCCAGGAAAGAATGGTTCAATCTACATCTTGTTTACACAAATTTTTTTAAAAAAACTGCCATTTGCCAAGATGTACGAATTGTTGAATGATTTCTTTGAGCTGGTAAATGACACCTCTAATAGATGAGAAACACCAGGCACGTGAGCTTTTCAGTCACATCAGATGGCACCTCTCGCTGGGACTATAAAAGGAGTACCCCAAGACCACAGTACGGCAGGCTCCCTGACCAGTCACTTAATCGAGACTCATTCACAAAAACTGCCACAGAGAAGAACTCCTGCCCACATCCCTCTACTCCAGCCTGTGCCAGCCTTTTCTGCTAATCACACCAGTCGACTCCAAACTGACCCTTGAAATGGCCTGACACCCAGACCTGCCTTAAAATCTTTTTGCCTGAATAGCTCTGCAGTTGGTAAGATTTCTTATACAGTTCCTTATAGACTTCTTATGTCTGTGCCAACTCTGCCTCTGACTTCAGGAATCCCAGTTTCTCTAGCTTCACCTACTTCTGTGTCTGGCAGTGCACTTGGTTCCAGCTTTTACCTCAGCTCTGGTGTAGTCTGCCCTCCGATTTGATGAAAAATTCTCATTTCTATTGCTATTTGGTTCTCCTTGCCCCTGAAGATCCCCGTTACTTTGTGCTGCTCGGTCTGTGCTGGGTGCATGTGTGTGGCGGGATAACCTGTATGTCTACCAGCGCTCTGTAGCCTGGCCCCAGGGATGACTGGACCTTAGAGACAGGCTGAAATATTTTTCTTTGGCTCTGTCCTCATTGGTCTGACTAAGGCTGTTATACAAAGCAGGTGGTCTCCAGTTGCAGCCTGTCTGCTTAGAGGTCTCTGGAGAGGCTACACTCCCTGAGACAGTCAACTTCTGACCATCACAGGCTCCTCTTGTCCAAGAATACACTTTTGTGAATTATCTGTCACTTAATTGCCGCTCTCTTCTGAGTGTCCCAACTGTTTATTGTCAGAATCCCAACGAAGCAGGCACAGGGATTTATTTTTAAAAATATCATCCACAAATTGTTGATTTCTGATATGATATCTGATATCACTGTTACAACATGAATACATAGTCTGAGTGCATTGATTCTTTGGCATTTACCAAGGCTCACTGTGTGACAAAATTGTGTGTGTGTGTGTGTGTGTGTGTGTGTCCCATGGTAATTTTCAAAGAATGAATGATCTGTTTTATTTACATAGACAATTGTGTTTGCTTTTAAATGTTAGCTTTGTTACTGTCTAGGGATGATGAAGACAGAAGATCAAGAGACAGCTGCTATTGAAAAGACAGTTATTGCTCACAGATTTCTGAGAAGGGAACATCCCAGCATCAAAGCCACCAGGGGAGGACAAGGGCAATGTGCAGGCAGAGGTAGTGATGGGGGACAGGCAAGCACCTCCACTGTGGCCGCCACGGGAAGACACAGGCAGCCACGGGAGAGACAGGCAACCCTCCCACTTGAGCAGCCGCCAAAGGCGCAGATCCTGTCCTGGATCCAGGCAGATGGACAGAGACCCAGTTAGAGGTGTATGGGGTTACAGGGGTTGCATGCAGTGTTATTTGCCAACTCTAGTCATTAGGCATCCCTAGGAAGATCAAGGCTGTCTAGGGTCAGCATGGCCACCTGCCAAGCAGCAGAACATCACACACACAAATGAAGTACGTGGTTACTGTAGCACATTTCTGAGTGTTAAGGAAGTTTCTGTGTGTATGTGGGGCGTGCGTGTTGCTTGTTTTGTTGTCGTTTTGTTTTTGGTGAGACAGGGTTTCACTATGTAGCCTTGGTTGACCTGGAACTTGATATGTAGTCCAGGCTAGCCTTGAATGCAAAGAGCTCTGCCTGCCTCTGTCTCCTGAGAGCCGGAATTAGGTGTATATCACCGTGCCCTGCTGGATAAGAGTTTTTAATGTGTCTGTGCTTTTGATCAGGCAGCTTCTGAGAAAAGTAGGTTAAATTCTTTATCTGTAGTTGTTGGTTTACCTATTTCTTCAAGCAAGTCTGTCATTAGTTTGTATACTTTGATACATTTGTATACGTTTTGTATATATCATATATACTTTGTATATATGGTCTGTTAGTCAAATATTACTGTTTAGTCTTCCCCTTACAAATTTATTTTTAAAACTACCCTTACAATCCCCACAACTCAGGAGGTTGAGACAAGAAGACTGTAAGTTCGAGACTTGCCTGGGCTAGTGAATTCAAGCCCAACCTGGACAACTTAGTAAGACTGCTTCAAAAGAGAACTGTGGGCATAGCTCAGTGGTAGAGTACTTATTGAACATGCAGGGGACCTCAAGTCCAGTCCCTGGTACTACACAGTGAGTGTGTCTGTATCAGTTACATTTTCATTTATTTTTTTTCTCATGGCCAAGGAGCAAATTCCACACCTTGTACATGCTAGGCTTGTGCTCTGTAAGTGTGAACGTTTATGTAACCACTGACATAGCAGGCCTCAAGATGGTTCTATCACCCTCCAAGCCTTGTGTGTGTGGTTTCTGGGGATTGCACATGAAGGTGAACATGCTATGAACACTTGTGTTCATGTTTTGCACGTGCTTGGTTTGGGGAGGGAGACACAGCTCAAAGGCTTCATTTAAGATGCAGTTTTGCTCCAAAAGGAATAAAAAGTAGTTTATCAGGAGGAAAATAGAAGTGACCAGAACCGGGGAACACAAACTCAGGTTACCCTGAGTGGTGTGTTCCACAGCAGAAGAGGTTATATGAACCTTTGTAGACCAGAATAAAGGAAAGTCCTAAGTAGATGCATTTGCCAGATACACCGGTTTGGGCATCAGGTAGGCAGGCAAGCGATGGACGAGTGAGAAAGTCGCTTTTATACCTTGCAGATGTCATAATATATTTGCCTTATGGTATCGGAAACTAGAGATCTTTTAAGTACACATTCCAAATGATCTCTCCAGGCGTCACAAATGATCACTCTAGGAGTTAGGCCAGATAGAAATGTTGATAGTGAGTGGCTGCTTGGGGGCTAAAGACAGGCTCAGATGATTTGGGTTCTTTTTCTGGCTCATTCCAGTTCTCCACAATCATAAAGTTCTAGTTATTCAGTCAGTCTCCCCAGCTCATTTACTGAGATAAAAACAAGCCCCCGGGGCCAGTGGTATGGCTTAACAGATACAGGTGCTTGCAGCCAACACTGATGGCCTGAGTTCAATCCCCAGGACCCACAGGTGGAAGACGATAACCAGCTCCTGCAAGTTGCCCTCTGACCTCCATATGCATGCTATGACTGATACTGCCCCCATCTCCAATGAATAAATTTAATTAAGAAATTTAAACATCAAAAAGTTTAACAATGTACACACACACACACACACACACACAGAGACAAAGAGAGAACAACCAAACTAAAAACAAGACCAAACAAGAGAGAGGCAGTATGTTGCCCAGAGCTTACTCGGGCCTGTGACAAGGAGAGCAGAGCTGGATTGGCCAGCTGAAGGTAGATGGTAGCTTTCTGGGTGAAAGGGCGAGTGTGGCAGAGGCACGTTTCCTTTGCAGATTAATTTCAACCTCATCCTGCTTCTGCTGTTGGAGCTCCTCATGGCAGCCACAGTGATCATCTCGGCACGGTCCAGTGAGGAGCCCTGCAAGAAGAAGAAGAAGGTGTGTCTCCCACAACTCCCTCCTCAGGCCCCCGAGCTGGGCCTGGCAGCGGAAGGCCATTAGCGGGAGGGGACCGGTATGGGTTGAGGGGCTGCTGGCCAGCCTAGGGAGGTGATGGTAGAGTACCACTGTCTCCCTAGTGTCCTTCCCATCCGGCACTATCCTCAGGAGTGTCAGAAGACCAATTCTGCTAAAAATTATGGAAAGCTCCAATGATCCTGACTGGCCATTTCCACATGCGGGGGAAATGCCTGTACTCCAATTGTTGCTCCAGGCTGAAGAGCTGTGGTACTGAGGCCTTTAGAAGTACAACTCCTGCCCATGGCAACCAGCCCCGTATTCTATGGCTCCACAAGGATTTCCTTTTTTTTCCCTAGGGTTCTATCCCGGATGGCACTAACATTCTGGATGAAGTGACTTTTCCTGCTCGGGTCCTAAAATCCTACTCTGTAAGAAACACTTCCCTCTTCTTTCTCTTATTTTGACACAGAGTCTGGCTATGTAGCCCAGGTTTGCACTGAACTACAAATCCTCCCGGCTCAGCCTCCCACGTGCTGGGTCTCAGGGAGGGCACCCACGTCACTATACTGCGCTGGTGCTGCCAATGTGTGGGACAATTCCATTTCATCCCACTCGGGCAGGCCCAGTCCTTCCATGAACCTCACTGTGGGTCTAGTGAGGCTCCCACCACCATCCGCCTTCTTGGCCTCGCCTAGTGGTTTCTCCATGGTCAACTTGAACAGACCAAAGAAGGGCACCTACTGAGCCGATGGCCTGCCTTGGGGAGGGCTGTATCTATTCTGGGACTCCAGTGTATCTTCCCTCCTCGCTGTGGGAGCAGACCAATGGTGTGGTGGCCTAGCAAGGTGACAGTGTCATTTCCCTTCCTTAGGTGGTAGAAGTGATCGCTGGTGTCTCCGCTGTCCTTGGTGGGGTGATTGCTCTAAATGTAGACGAAGCTGTCTCGGGCCCACATCTCTCAGTGACGTTCTTTTGGATTTTAGTGGCTGTGAGTACTTCCTGGATGGTCACCTTGTCTGTGTCTAGCCAGCAAGACAGGTCACAGCTACAGTTTTGAGCTCCCCCCGCCCCTTAGATGCTACGTGGCTGTTTCGTTTGTTTGTGTTTGTTTTTAGCACAATGTTGGTAACATTCAGACAAGAAACCACACAGGAGAGCCCCTCCCCCAAGGAATCTGTAAACTGAAGATTAAATATATTTGTATGAAATTTTATCTTAATTGCTAGTATTATGTTACATTCATTCTAAGAAAACCAATTATTTTACATTAAATGCTGCTATGATAAAGATTTAGCACAGCTTTAACATGTGGGAAATGTGTGACACTTGGTCACTCGTTTAAACATGATCCTTTGCTATTTTAAAGCATTACAAGTTCACCCACGTGATTTAGTATTGCTCATTGTCTTAGTTCATCCTTGGGTTGGCTGCTTGCCTTCTGCTCCAGTTTGCTTTCTATTGCTGTGATAAAACAATACAACCAAAAGCACCTTGAAAGAGAGAGAGGGCTTACTGGTGTACTTAAAAAAACTTATTTACATTTTTTTATATCTTTCTCTCCCTGCTTCACCCCAGTCCCTTCCAACACCCCAACACCAGGTAGGAGAGAAAAAAGGTTAGTGGGAGAGGGGTAGCAGTTCTCTTAGCTGTTCAGGGTTGTTCGTTGGAGCCAGTCCAATCTTCGTTTCAGGAGCTCTCCAATTTCTTGTCTCACTGCACCAACAGCAACCAGGAGCTGCAGAGGAAGCAACAGCCTTGTTCCTTCTCAGAGCCCCCTCAGCACTCTCTGGCCTCTGGCCTTTTTCCCTCTCCAGAGTCCTCAGATTTAAACGATCTGCAGCTGGCAAAGAGCTCCTCTCAGAGCCCACATGAGGCAAATTGTTTGCTGCTGTGAACAATCTGAATCAGTCCCACACCCCACACCTGGGATTTAAAAAATAAACATGTTTATACCCACAGCAAAGGTTTATTTGGCTTACCTTTCTGTGTCACAGTCCATCATTGGGGAAATTAAAGGCAGGAACTTCAAGTAGGAACCTGGAGGCAGGAACTGACGCAGAGGCCCTGGAGAGGGGCTGCTTACCGACTCATATCCCATGGCTTGCTCAGCCTGCTTTCTTATACAACCCACAACCACCAGCCCAACGGTAGCATCATAAAGTCCTGGGCCTTCCTACATGAACTATTCATCAAGAAAATACCTCCTAGCTTGTCTACATGCCAATTGTATGGAGGAATTTTCTCAGTTGAAGTTTCTTCTCAGAAGACCCAAGCTTGTGTCAAGCTGACCAGAGATCTAAACAGCACCCACCTTAATCTTTTTGTTCAGTCACATGAGGCAAACACCCACCAAGGCTGTGGTTCAGTTCCCTGCCAGGGGCCCACGGCACCTGTGATCACCTTAGTGAGCTTCATTCTTAGGTATTTGTTCCTTCTAGGAGAGCCCAGAGACAGGTGACACCTGAGGAACACAGCTGTTCCCCTGGAAGAGACAGGAGTGGGCCACTACAGAGGCAGAACTCTCTAACGGGCGCAGGGTGTGACCTGAGTCTGATGGCCTCAGAGAGAAAAAGCTAAGGACAGTCTCATCCTGTGGTCTGCAGTGGATATAGCAGAGGTGGATATAGCATTGTAGGCTGAGCTCCTTGGGGACTGAAACCAAGTAGAAACGGAAGACACATGCTTTCTTCCCGTACCTACTTCCAGAGTTAATCCAGTGAACGTAACCATCCCTACATCTTCCTCCAGGGCCTATCTGCTAAACTTCTCCTTTGCCCTACCTGGCAAGATACCCTTGGGGCCTACCCAGTGATGACCCTTTCTCCTGAGCAGTCATCCCTCTATGCAACATGATGCCATTCCCAAGGACATAAACAGCTTGGAAACGAGTATAGAGACCCAGGGAGAGGGGGCTAGGATATGAAGGGAGGGAGAATTCCTGGGGTGGTAGGGCGCCAGTGCCATTTATCTGAGTATTGGCCAGAGGATGGTCAGAGAGACCAAAGCTATAGACTCCTAAAAGCCAGACATGGGTCTAAGGGTCTGTTCTTGGGGTCCACATAGGCTAAATACCTGCTGGCTTGTTGGGGCCACTCCAGTTGCCTCTCAGCTGGTTATTTGATGTCCGCTGTCCTCACGTCTGCACTTGCTTCCACAGTAGCCAGAGGGCACTTCTGGAAATATCAGTTTTGGAATAGACTCCTGTGTTGACATTTCAGGTTGCTTCGGGCTCTGCCCATACAAATGCACCTCTGCAGCTAGACCTGGTCTTCTCCTTCATCCCAGGCCCTTTTCACATGCAGCCACCTCAGTCTCCCTTGTCAGCCCTGCTCCCGTCTTCACTCATCTTTTCACTAGGGCCCTTGACAAGTGCAGGCCCCATCTTGGTATTATGTAGGGCCAGGTATACTGGGCCAGTGCTGATGTCATGGGGCATGGGCATTTCCTTTATATTTGTTCATATGGATAAGAACTTTCAGGCTGGGAGACAGGTCAGGGACTCCTCAGGCTGTTTAGGGTCTTTGGAACCCATGGAGCAATGGCCCAGAAAGATGACCAAAGCTAAGCTCTTTGGCATCTCCACTGTCCTTGTTTGCTCTCTCATATGGGATTAGGAACAGATATTTTGGTATCCAAAGCTTTCAGGGGTCCTGTCGCTTCCCCAGCCCAAGATTGGCAGACCTTGCTCTCTCATCTCAAAGAGGTATCAGCCTAACCCGAGCAACTCGGGGTTCATGTCTCAGGAAAGTCGATGAAGATGCTGGAGGTCAAGGGACATCCCTATGAATAGAGATTAGCAAGGAGGCACAAAGAAACCCCAGTTTGGGCCTCAGATCATGAAACAGAGATTTCTCTTCATATTGCCCTTGGGACAACTAAACAGGTGTTGTAGATAGATCCACATTTGACTGTGTCGCCCTATGTACAAAGCACAGTCAAGTGACCTGGCAGAAAGCAGAGAGCAGGGAGCAAAGACATGACCGATGGCAGCAAGGTCATTCCAAGAGGACATGGAGACTTGGACTGTCACTCTGCCACTCTTGCAGCCTTTTTACAAAAAACGTGAATGTTTAAACACATAGTCAAGGAACAAGCGGCTACCAAACCTGTGAAAAGGTCATGAGCCACTTGTATAGCTTGAGGCAGCCCTGGCTTCCCTTCTATTACCTAGAAGTGTGAAAGCTTGGCTAGGGCAGGAGTACAAGGTTAGGATTTGGCTTCTTGAAAATCTGCCTCTAAGTTTTTCTCTTCTCTTCCCAGTGTTTTCCAAGTGCCATTGCCAGCCATGTGACAGCCGAGTTTCCCAGCAAGTGTCTGGTAGGTGAGATCCGACCCTACCATTGTGTCATGGGTCACACCTCGGGTGTGGTTTAACAGGGGCTGAGAAGGAGAGGCCAACAGGGGAACAGGCCAACAGTGGGAAGGGCCAGAGCATGCCCCACTGCCCAGGAGAGGATCCACAACTGTCCTGCCTCTGAAAACAAGCAGTGAGCAGGTTTGGAAGCCCCAAATTCCTGTAGTTAAGCAAGGAACGGAGGAAGAACCCAGTCCTTTAGCTCCATCCCACCTCTTATGGGCCTGGTTAGCTGTTAGCAACTGTTGGTCTTTGGGCCTAACCATTCTGCAAATAAGTTGTCTGTGCTGGGTTGAATGACCCTGACACAGGGGGGGAGATCAGAAGAACAGATCTTAGAAGAGTAGAAGTGAATAGCACATAAGAGCTGACTTTATATATATATAATATATATATATATATATATATTATATATATATATATAATCTGATATAGAGGGTTGCATATGAAATTCAAAAACTCACACGTTACATCTGGCACTGAGTGAATGAACAGAGTTTATCTGAAGTGTTCCTCCCTCACAAACTCCCAGGCAGGGCCCTGCTGGCCACACCTACTATCTGACCTCATCTGCTTCCCTGCCAGGTGGAGGTGCTGCTCGCCATCAGCAGCCTGACATCCCCACTGCTATTCACCGCCTCTGGGTATTTGTCCTTCAGCGTCATGAGAATCGTGGAGATTTTCAAGGATTACCCACCAGCCATCAAAGTATGTATCCGTTCTGTTTTGAGACTCTTTAGAAACGGAGCCACTCACTGATAGGATCCTGAGGAGATGGCCAGGGGCACCTGCTGTATTTCTGGCAGTGGCCAGAACACGTGGGCCCCCACCTGAACAAAGCAGCTTCGCCCAGGTTGCCCTGGGTGGGCTGGAGCTCGTGTGTGGAGTGAGGTGGATCTGATTGGCTTTCCCCATGTTGGCTCTGTTCCCACTGGCTGCGAGGCAGCTCTCTTCTGGTTTCTGTTCATTGCCTCCGTTCTCCTTGCTTATTTTCTTTTCTACCCATCTTAGCTCAGCCCTGTAATGCCCCTCTTCCACTTCCTTCAGCAGGAAGGAAGTGGTTTTCCTCTATCTTCTGAGCACCCATGTGCCTCTCAGGTCCAGCCATCACATTACCAGAGAACCACTGGAGTCTCAGCCTTGCATTAAGTTCGAGGGTAGCTCTGAGGACTGGAAGTGCGCTGACTTTGTGTCTGTCACATTGGATATCATCAAGGGAGACTCCCCTGGGGCCTCTCAGCATATGTCGGGACTTTGTCAGAGCCGAACACATGCCACTGGATTCACATCTAAGATGCTCAGCAGTTGTTTCCGGGATAAGTGATTTCCCTCCACGAATGTATTATGAGGAACCTGGTGTGGGATTGAAAGGGCAGTGCAGCTACACCAAGATGCCCCCATTGCATTCACACGTACTTTGAGGGATGGTGGCATACATGTCACGCTCATTTGGAAAGAGTGTCAAACTCTGATACCTCAACCCTTCACCCTTTCACAATTAGATGGTTCTAGATTAGGAAGAGTCCTCTACAAATTAAAGTCCCATTGTCAAGTCTAAGATGGTCAGCATTATTGCCTGTCATTGTTTAATATTCAGCCCATAATGATCGTCATGGCTGTTTTGGAGCAGGCTGTCTTGCGCTTTGGTCTGTTTAGTTCAGGGAAACCTTATCCCCTGTCTGGAGTGTGGCCCCATCTATGTGTCTGTTCCTGATGGTCCCCCAAGGAGCATTAAGGGCCCCGGCAAGGTGTGCATCATTGTGGTGTTAGCCTCTGGCTCTGTCCCCAGCATCTCTCCTCTGAGCTGATGCTAACAGCTGATCTTTTCCTGGGGAGTGAAGAAGAGGTGAGGAACAGGTTTCTCATGCCTCTGCTAATCCTGAGCAGGCGTATTGCAAGCTTCCGTTTTGGTTGAATACTGCCGAGGACTCTCAAGGCCTCTAGTATTTTTAGAGCATTGTTGGCATTCTTCTTTCTATGCTGAACTTGAACCAGATTCACACAGAGGGCACCTGCCAGGTGAGTGCTCCTGTGACAATCTATCAGTCTTTCCAGGTGGGCACTGAAGACAGCCTTGGCTCATCTTTTATGACCTTAACCCAGATAAGAGCAGGCACAGAGTTCGGAATCTGTCCCTTCTGTTCTCCCCTTCTGGTAACTTCTGAGCCCCTTCAGTGAACAGAGCTGGAAAGTACTGTATGTTTATAGATATGCATTTGTATTGTTTCCAATTCGAGTTGAACATTCTCAGGCTTCCCTGGTACCCCTTAAGTTCCTTTAATATTTTTCATCTCTTTGCTCCTACTCCAAACACAATATCTCCGATAACACTTCACATCCTTTCTACCTAATTTTGTCTTATAGTAGATACATAAAATGACCCACAATTACAAAAGCAACATTGCTAACAATAACACACCTATTGAGCTAATCTTTATGTGTGTGTAACATTAATCCCACTAAAGAGTGGCCCTCATATGCTGTGTGACAAAAATCCCTTTTCTGTGTATGATTTTGCTGTTGATTTGGTAAGTGGTTAAGTCCAGTGGATTCTGGATGCAGTCAACATTAGGGCTTGTTTCATTTTACATCTTGATGATATTTTAGAACATAATATAGTCCAAAAGACATTGTTCATAACATAGTTCAAAAGACAAAGCTGTACAAAAGGTAAGCTCAGAGGGGCAGGGGTGCCAGCCTGCGCACTCGCTATCACATCGCTGTAACCTTCTCTCTTCCCTACAAAGAAGGTTGGGCATTCTAATCTATTCTGTGTTGGGGGTCATTTTTTAGCCCAATAATTTAGCCTGGTGTTTTGCAAACACCCAGAGGGCTCAGAACTCCTCTGCACTCTTCCATTATTGTGCTCAAGTGTCACCCCACTGACCTGAGGTGTCCCTGGCGATGGAGAGTGGGCAGTTTCCAGCCATCTGCTGTTATGAATAGCTCCTGGTGACCAGCCTTTATGCACGTTTCATATCAAGTTGAGGATGAACGCCTGGGAGAGAGACTATGCAGAGAACAGATGTATCTGGATCCCTAAGTCTTCACCAGAAAGGCTGGAAATGGCAAAACCATGGACCAAATTTGCTCTTTCTCAAGCCGCTTCATTGTTGAAGCCCCATGTATGCACACATCCATGTTTCCCTCAGTCCCTTGACACACTTTCACACAGGCCTTGCTCCTGCTTGCAGGTCCTCTCCTTAGATCCCACTGGCTGCTCCAGCCTGTCACCATGGACTGCCTTGTGCTGGTAGTAGAGGCTGTACACCTGCCTCCTTCCCTTCGGACGGAATGAGGCATCTACGTACACACATAGCTTCTGCTCTGATGCATGAATTTCATATCTGCAGTCCTGCCTCCATATCCATGACATTAACACTACACTACACACACACACACACACACACGTATTCAACATTTTTTAGACAGGGTCTTGTTGTATAGTCCAGGCTAGCCTTGAACTTGAGATCCTCCTGTCTGGGCCTCCTGAGTGCTGGGATCATGGGTCTACATCATTATGCCAATCACCTCGATGGCCTTTATGTGTTAACATCTAGTTGCCCTGTATTTCTGTGGGCTGATGCTGAAAGGCATCCATCTATCTGGTTGCCCTGTGGGTATTTCTGAAACACTCCTTCATGTATGAAGTGCAGTCCATTACCACTGGCCCCTGGGATGTCAGGACAAGGACTTTTGCCCTGTCTTCTTACTCTCTCTTGTTGCCTCTTCCTCACCAGCATCTGTGCTCAGGTTACTTTGCTGGTAGGCCTGGACTCATGACTTTTCCTTCAGCCAAGGGCCCTTGGGAGCCGATTGTACCCATTTCAGGACTGTTTCCTGCAGATACATAACAGAAAATGTTGGTCTTTCCTGCTCCCCTGCACACCCTCAGCACGAGCCCCAGGAGTCTTGCATGCTCTTTCTCCTCCTCACATTTGTTGGATTGAAGGGGTAGAAGGAACCTAACCTGGGTCTTCTTATGCTTACTTGTCACGTGCAAGCTACCAGAATTGGTTGAACTGGAATGTTATAGGATTCAGACTACTGAACCAAGAAAACCTGATTGGATTCCTAGGGCTTGGTGGTCAAGGGGGTTTTTTGGCTCCGTAGAAGCTTTAGGCGAGGGGAGAATTTGCAGGACTCTGCCTGTGGGCCTGCTCACATCTTGGTCTTTCCTCATAGTCCTATGATGTACTCCTGCTGCTGCTCCTGCTGCTGCTGCTGCTTCAGGGGGGCCTCAACACTGGTACAGCCATCCAGTGTGTGAGCTTCAAGGTCAGCGCCCGGCTGCAGGCTGCATCGTGGGACACCCAGACCTGTCCACAGGAGCGCCCAGCAGGGGAGGTGAGTGGCCTTCCTTCCTAGGATGCCCCATTCCTCAGAGGGCCCTTGTGAGGTAGTGGACCCCTCCACAGATGTACTTCAATATTTGTTGTGTGTGTTTTGTGGTTTTTTTTCTTTATTTGCAGTTTTTTTTTTAATTAGAAAAAGTCCAATTTATTGCCAAAATGAAATTTTACACCTACTCTAAATCAATGATTATTTCAAAAACTCATCTTGAACAAAAGTCAAAAATTTTTTCTGAAAAAAAAAATAGGAAAATCTTGGTAAATTAACATTTAAATTTATTTGCAGTTTTAAAAATAAAGTTTGGACTAGGCTATTCTTTAAAGGACTAAATGAGTACAAACCCATTCATGAAAAATACCATGCCATAAGATTTTCAGTTCCACTTTCAGAGATACAGAGAAAGCCTTTCAGAGAGTCCCACAGAAGATGCCGTGCTCTGTAGGGAAGGGTTGCCTCTGCCTGGCATGTGGGGCTCCCTGTAACTATTCTACAACCCATGGCCAGTCCACGGTTTCCTACATGGTCCTCTCCCTGCCTGCCCCATCCTAAGTTCTGATACCTCCACAACTGAGGCTGGGCCTGATAACTTCTCTCTGAGCCATCTGTCCCTGCAGTGTCTTCCAGGACAAACTTGCCCATTGCCATTAAGGAGGTGACCCAGTTGTTTTGTGCCCAAGGTGATGTCCAGGCCCTATCTCTGTCTTGGACTAAATGAAATCTACATGGCTCTGTGTCCTGACCAGCAAGCCACAGAGTCAGATAAATAAGTTGTTCTTACCAGATATTGGATACCAGAACTGTCCATCTTAGGAGCTCAGAGCTAAGTGTGCAAGTAGCAGTTACCCTACCTCATATCTGGAGGTGTGTGTCTGTCTGTTGTCTACTTCCTTTGCTGCCAGTTGCACACCCATCCTAAAGCCTGCCCCATTCCACAACTACAGACACTGTGGGGAGGGATGTGGGGATTTCTAAGATGGTTTGTCCCATTTCTAGTGTCCTCTCCCCTCCATCCCTTCACGTGTAAAGAAGCTTCCATACAAGAGCACATCAGCTGCTGCACGGACTCCGCTGAATCTGCCTTCCATCCAGGTGTGACCCTGGAGAGGTGACACTGTCCTTGTCTTTTATCACAGGTGGCCCGAAGCCCCCTCAAGGAGTTTGACAAAGAGAAAGCCTGGAGAGCTGTGGTGGTGCAAATGGCCCAGTGACTACAGGGCAAAGAAACCGAGTCGTGGTGTCTACCTGGCCCCCAGCGTGTCCAACAGTGCGGACTCTAACTGTCATGCAGCTACCGCTTTCTAACATACTCTTTTCCTCCCATGAGGGCAGCCCGGGCTGCAAGGTGGCTTTTCGTTTCCTGTACTAGTTTAACTTTGAAACAGGCAAATATCGACTGTTACATCCTGTCAGGTGGATCAGTTCTATAGGTTCTCAGGTGACCCTGGTGGCCTGGATAATCCTTGTTTTCCAGCCCTTATCACTTCCTGATTTGATCCTCATTCGTGAAACTGGGAGTCATTTTAGGAATCCCTCTCTGGCTTATGATTTCACTGCATCTGCACATCACAGCAATTTCGTTCCTCCTGTGGGAGGTGAGCCCCAGTGCTCAGGAAAACAGTGTTCCTTTACTGAACTGGGGTGCCAAGGGGTTCTCCTTCAGGGAGGTTAATGGAAACAACAGAGGTACACTTTGTGCCCCAAAAGAACTGCCATGGCAGAGAGATATTGAAAAATCCTGCAAGGCTTCTCACTTTTAGATGTGTGAGACTCTACCAGGATTCGTGAAGACTGCAGACATTATTTGGAGCCAAACAGAGGTGTACCAGTAAGGTACCCGGAAGGTAGGAGCTACCAAGCAGTGCAGCTCCGCCTCCAGCGTTGGGGAGTTCCTGTCCTATCTTCCTCTTCTGCAGCTCTAGAGGGCTGGACCTGCCTCAAATAAGTACCCCGGAGGTCAATTCTTGCCTGCTTACATGCAGAGCTCTGTGGACTCTGGGCCTACTGCAGCTCTGCCCCAGGCTGTTGGGTGGGGAGAGAGCCACGGGCACACTGGGCTGGCAAGGCATCTAGTGGGAGACCAGAGACTTGAACTTTCAGGACCAGAATGAGGCGGTAAAAGGACAGCTGTGGACTTGAGCTTTCTAATTCCAGAGAGAGAGAGAGAGAGAGAGAGACAGAGAAACTTGTATAAACAGGGTCTTAAAAATTGTCTCTTGTACACTTTTGTTTAGTATACATTAATATGCTTGAGCAATAAATCCTAACATGCAAATGTGGTTATAGCCTGTTAAATGATTCTGGGGGGGGGGGGAAAAGGTGGTGGGGGGAGGGTGAGAGATAGAACCTTAGAGTGGAAAGCCATTTTTAAAATTTTATTCTTTGATTTGTATAATCCCTGAAAGTGGTGAGTAATGACTACATCACCAGTCAGGGAAAAGACTCCTTCAACACCTGCAGAGCAAAACCTGTGAAATAAAGACGCCTCTAAACCGGCGTTTCTCAGCCTTCCTAATGCTGCGACCCTCTAACACAGTTCCTCACGCTGTGGTAACCACCAACCATAAAATTATTTCATTGCTACTTCACAACTGCGGTTTTGCTACTGTTAAAAATCATAATGTACATCTCTGACATGCAGGCTATAGGATACACGACGCCCTTGTATGGGGTCGCGACTCACAGCTTGAGAACCGCTGCTTCAGAGCACCTTAAGGTGCCCTGAGGCCTGGGCTTTGAACCAGGCATGATTCTGATAGGTAATGGATCCTCAACACAGTCCGAGGTGCCACATTGGGACCGGGACAAACACAGGAACTAACCTGGTAAGGCCTAGGTGACGAGCTACACTGGCTGTAAGGATTGAACAGCCTGGGAACAGCAAGGGGACAGACAGCACAGGTTCTCCACTGATGAACCTAGGTACCAAGGCCACTCTATGTCCCTCTGGGCAGAGGACTTACTCTGGCCACCCTGATCTCAGTAGCCGCTCAGCTGGCAAGAGGACTCATGGGGAGAACACCGCCCTGGAAGGGCCCAGGGATTCCATCCCCGCCTCAGGCCTAGGTGAAGGCGTCCTGTGGACCGCAAGGGAGCCGGAAGGGAGGAAGTAGAGGGTGGGGCAGGGTGTGACCCCTGGTCTTTGTGACTTGGTGTAGTCTGAGTGCCAGGGTTGTCTGTGTGACCCTGACAGGTGCGTGGGAGATGTGGAGCAGGAGCGCAAGACCCCGGTGGGGGTCGCAGACATTTAAGGACTAACCCCGACGCATGGCCCGCGAGGTCCGGGGCCTTAGTCCCCGCCCTCGTCCCCGCCCAGGCCCTGGCTTCTTCTTGGATCGCAGCACCGGACTGGATCCAGAACTCAAGCTCAGTGTGAGTGCCAACAACTGCATCCGGACTGATCCGGTATCTCGAGTGACCTCTGTGCGCCGTCGCCGACACCGAATTTCTCTTCCGCGCAGCCCTCAGCTGCCCCCGCCTACGCGTCCACGAAGCCCTACACCGCGAGCCGGGCGCCGCTCAGCAAGCCGCAAGCCGGGCCACCAGCGCCAGGGGTCTGCACAACGCGCCGCGCAGGCAGTGCCCGTTGCCAAGGGCGACTGCAAGACGCTCAGCCGCTCAACTCGCTGCAGGAGCGCAGCACCGCGCGCTTCTGGGCGGATCCCAGGTGAGCGCTGTCGGTGGGCAGACAACGACGGACTTGTACTTGCTACGGACCAGGTCCCCCCCCCTGCGCTCCGAACCCGCCCCACCCCCCTCCGAATGGAACCCCCCCACGACCTCGCTCCTTTAGAACCACAGAACTTTCCCAGCCCTACCCTCTCCACTTGCCCCCGTCCACTTTCACCCCACCCCGCCTGTTCAACCTTCTTCCCCTCACCTTCCCACCTCCCTTCAAACTCCGTAATTGCCTCCCCTTCCTGACCCTAAACTTGTGCCCCAATTTGTGACCTGTCTCCCTGCTTGACCTTCCTTTCTTAGCTCCACCCCCGTATTCTGCTTTTGACTGGTTCCCCCTAACTCTGCCCCAAATCTGTCTCTTCAACCCCAGCCTTATTTCCTTACCTGTGAGCTGTCCCCCTACTCTAACTTAGCCTTCTCACCCAGACCTGTCCCCCACTGACCCTTCTTCCCATCTCACTTCTCACTTCCAGATCATGACGTGTCCCCCTAACCCAGACCTCCCTTCCAGACCTGCCTCCCAAACCCCGGGTCTCTGAACCCTTGCTCCAATGGGTCTGTCTGACTTCGCCGCTCTTCTCGGCAGGGTCTGGGTGTGAGATACGCGAAGGGGGCATGGAGAACGGCGAGAGGAAGAAGCTGTCTTCCACTTCGTCCGATGGAGATAACAAAGAAGAAAATAGTCTGTACCTTTGTGTTCCGCCTTTGCGACAGCCTTACTCGAAGGACCAGGCATGGGGGTTGGCGGTAGTGAAAGGAGGTCCATATTCTGCTGCCTCTTGGGCTCCTGAGGCTCCTGGGGATTGTGTTGGACCTGAGAGACTGTTCTGGTAGTACAGTGAGAAAGTCCTTTATTCTAGTGGGTTCCTGCACTTGCCCTTCAGATACGGTTCACACTCATCGACTAAAACCTAAATACCTATAAGTAAATCACATGTCATAGATGGGTGTACATTTAGCTTTAGACGGTAAAGTTCAGGCTTGCCAGCCGAGGCCCTCCCCATCTGCCACCCGGCTGGCATTGGCCTTGCAGCTTTGGACTATTCTGGTGGATGCTGCTAGTATCATTCTGCAGCCTTTATTTGCATTCTTCTTACATCCATGATGGTGGAATATTTACTCTAGATCTAGGCCATTATTAATAGTGAGTCTAAGTAGTTTGCAGGTATTTCTTGTACATTCTGATCACCATCTCTGTGTCCGATCAATGTGTTGCAAATACTCATGAGCGTCTGTGGCTGGGCCATCACAGTCTTAATGATTGCTTCCTTAATCTTAACTTCTAAAGTTTTGATTGGTTGCTTGGTTTTGTTTTTCTTTATCTATCATCTATCTACCTACCTACCTACCTATCTGTCTATCATCTATTTGTTTTTTCAAGACAGGGTTTCTCTATAGAGGTCTGGCTGTCTTGCAACATGCTCTGTAGACCAGCCTGGCCCCAAACTCAGAGAGCCACTGCCTCTGCCTCCCAAGTGTTAGGGTTAAAGGTGTGTGCCACCACCACCTGGCTGGCCCCTTTTCTTTTTGGAGACAAGATCTCACCATGTAGAGTGTACTGGCTATCCTGGAACTTATTATGTAGACCAGGCTGATCTAGAACTCACAAATATCCCAACCAACCTCTGTCTCCCCAGTGCTGGGATTAAAGGTATGCACTATATATTCTGGCTGGCCTGGAACTCACTATGTAGACCAGACTGGCTTTGAACTCATATAGATCCACCTGCCTCTGCCTCTCAAGTGCTGGGATTAAAGAATGCATTATAACGCCCAGCCATGACTTTCTGGTTTTAGTGAGGCCTAATTGTTGATTTTTTTCATATATAATGAGAGCCCTTGTATCTTAATGAGCCTATCCACTTTCTTCCAGAAGATAAAACCCTTTTGTTTTTCTTTCCTTTTTCAAGCTTTGCCATTCCACTTCTTATATTTCAGGTCTGCCACCTAGTGGGATTGAGGATAGGACTGAGAAAGACATGGTACTCTCATCCCAAATTTGAGTATTCAGTGACTCAGCTTCTGAATGGCAGTGTCTCTTGGGGTCAAAGAGATGAAGGTGATCTTTGGGGCTATCCCTTCTGCTGTCCTAGTCTTTCTGCTCATCCTTTTCCTCTGCCAGTGTTTTCACTGCAGATACTTTATAATGAAGTACTCTGAGCTTGTCTTTCAAGGTTGCTTAGGTTCTCTTGGACTTTTAAACTACTGGGTAAATTTTAGGACAAGATTACCTTATATACATACACATAGCCTTCTGGGGCTGTAGTTGTTATGTTGAATTTATGGGTCAATTTGGGGGTGAATTAACATCTTAATATTAAATGTTTGAAACTGGAACATTCAGTTATCTAATTCTTCTCGGCAGTGGCTTATAGATTTTGTTGTGCAGATGTACAGTAATTCTTTTGCTGGATTTACTCCTATATACTTGGTGTTTTTAAGTGCTGCTATAGATGACATTTTAATTTCACTTATGTGTGTTGTGTGTCTGCCTCTCGCATACTGGGACTAAAGGCATGTGCTACAAGAAGGATATCTGTGAGTTCAAGTCCAACCTGGTCTACGGAGGGAGTTTTAGGACAGCCAAGAGCTGCACAGAAAAACTTTGTCTCAGGAAAGAAAGTTTTTAAGTGTGTGTGTGCGTGCATGTGTGGGTGTATGTGTGTGTGTACACAGAAGGCAGAAGAAGGCTTCCGATCCCTCGGAGCTCAGATTACAGGCATTTGTGAGATGCCTTATAACATGGGCACTGGGATATGAACTCTGGTCCTCATGACTGAGCAGCAAACACTTTGAATCACCTCTCCAGCCTATTGGTAAACAATTACCAACTATTATGGGATGTTTCCTTCTGCATCTGTTAGATCGTAGTGTTAATTTTATATATTAATATGGTGGATAGTGCTAAGAGCTTTTCAAACACTAAACCAACTTTGCATTCTTGGAATAAACTCCATTTGGTACTGTTTTGGTTTTCTTTCTTCCTGTCACTGGATTTAATTTACAAATGTATTAGTTAGGGCTTGTGCCTGTTATTGTGAGAGAGATCAGTGTGAAGTATTCTGTCCTTGTAATGTCCTTGCCAGGTTTTGATGTTAAACATATAGCTTCATGGTTTATATAATTTTTTTAATATTTGGGTAGACTAACTTATGCTGTCTACACCTCGAGTTTTTCTTTGGAATAATATTTAATTTTGGAATTAATATCTTGAATGTAAATAAGATGATCTGGATTTTCTATTTCTTTTATGTTAGTTTTTAATATGTATTTTAAAGAAAATGTCCATTTCATATGAATGTGGGCATGTAGATGCTAAAAAGTCTTATTAATATCTTAATATTCAGTCATTGGCAATGCCTCCTTTTTCATTCTTGATGTCGCTAATTTATGTTTTATGTATCTCTTCTTAATCTGCCTAAATAAAAATTCATCATTTAAAATTTTTCTTTTCTTTTTCTTTCTTTCTTCATTCCTTTTCTTTTTATTCTCCTCAGCATTGGACTCTAACTCAGAGCAAGTGCCTGACCACTGAGCTACAGCCCCAGTGCCCCCCAAAATGTTCCATATATCCAACTCTTGCTTGTGTTAAT